TATTTGTGGAAGGTGGGTCTATCCTTTGGGCCGTGGAGGCGTTTTCAGTCATTGCATTCATTGTGGTCAGCGGTGGGTCCTTTTTTGTGCATTCTGTTGTTGTGTTTCCTCCTCCGCTGTTTCCTGTGTGTGGTTGGGTTCTGTCTCAAAGAATATGTAATGTAAAATGTGCCTTAGATTTGTCCTCGGATACATTTTTTGCTAAAATCACTCGTTATTACATCTAATCACTGCTCAAAACCCAAACCCACCTGTTTGAAACTGCATTTACTTAATTACTTTAGTTACTTTTATTTGTTCCTTCCAAAAGTGTCAAAAAGAGCACTATTAATGTACAATGTATTGTTATTATTAGACCGTAATGTCCTTTTATTTATAACATTACATAAATATTGGCCTAATATTATTATTGTACACACACACACACACACACAAACACACACACAGCCTGAAGTACTACTGTTTCAACTGAATTGGAATTATTTTTGTATTGCCCCAAATCACAACAGCAGTTATCTCGAAGGAGTTTACAAAGTTGCTGATTTGAACACAGATCAGAGAGTCAAACAGTCAACTCAAAATACCCAGTGGAAAAAAGTGTGAAACTTCGGGGAGGCCCACATTGAGGTAGGGCTATAGATCCAGGACTCAGGCTGTAGAACGAGGACAGAGGCCACGCGATGGAGGACTGTGGCAGCACCCGGGCGTGGAGGGGGTGCAGCCACAAGTCCGGGCCGGGGAAGAAAGTCCACAGAAAGTTTCATATCATATTTCCTTTCCTCCTCCTCTCTCCTTTCTTTCATCAAGGCTCTTTCATATGACCAAAATAATCCTTGATAAAGTTAGTGACCTTGTTCAAAACAAGAGGCGCTGATGTGTGCTTCATGACACAGACTGAATCAATTCACTTTGGACATGCTGCAAACGATATTTTATATATATTATTTCCATTGTTATTTTTTTCATATAAACTGCATAGATTCAGTGATGCCTCAGTCAAGATGACTCAAACATACATGGATCATTCCAAATAAAACATTGATTTTGTGAATGTGAAGTAAACCATAGTTAAAGTTCCTTAAAGTCTGTGGTTTGATTCCTGTAGCTAAAAATATGTTTGCCTGGAGATGATATGGGCATCTGTTTGTTCAGTGCGTGAGAGGTCAGGAGGATGATCTACATAGCAGGTGTGAAAAGTCTTAGTCAAGCTTCTCACACATGTCCGCTTACACGACTCGTAATATAAGATGATTGTATCGCCATGAGCGCAGTGACCTCAGGGTTCATGCATCAAAGGTGTACAAGGAAAAACACAATGGCAATATCAATACAGATATCAATATTTTGGAAATTACATTTTACAAACCTGCAAAAGTATTCATACTTTATAGTTTGGTGAATTCCTTTTGCTTCAAGAACCACAGTAAGTCTTTTGGGGTGTGACTCTACGAGACTTGCACATCTAAAGACAGAAGGTTTAGCTCATTCCTTTTTTCAAAATAACTTTAGCTCTGTCCATTTAGATGGAGAGCGTTTGTGAAAAGCAGCTCAAGTATTTCCACAGTTTTTGGGACGACCAACAAAACAATACCTATTTTTTCAATTGGTCGTCCGTCGTGGTGTATTTTCAATAAAACTTGTAAAACTCTGGTCAACCACATACAACACCCAGAGCTGCAGAAAGCCAGGACAACTTGAGAAAGATAAGGCTATTTTAGCCAGCTGGTGGTGTGCCATGTGATTGTTTTCAATTAAAAAGTTGGGCCACTGCTCAAAAAGTTTGCGAAGGTTATGCTTTCCTCATGGCAAGTTTTTGACTGGTGATAGTGAAGGCATTCAGTGACTGACACGCTGACATAGAGCAGACCACCCAACCAGAGTTACACCAGATGAGCTGTTCCCCAGAGGAGGAGACAGATGTGCTGGGTTAGCGTTAGCCACTGCTGTGGTAAGGTCAGAGGTTCGAAATGGTCAAGAAGCAAATGACTATATTGTAGGAGAGGTGTCATTATGGTCAATTATCATTTTGACAGGGGCGGCACGGGCGGCTGAGTGGATAGCACTCTCGCCTCTCAGCAAGAAGGTCCTGGGTTCGAATCCCGGTCGGACCAGGGCCTTTCTGAGTGGAGTTTGCATGTTCTCCCCGTGTCTGCGTAGGTTTCCTCCGGGTACTCCGGTTTCCCCTACCACTAAAAATATGTCCAATAGTTCTGGCATGTGCCTCCTGTACTGGTGACCCCGCTCCCATCTCTGTGTGGAGTGAGAGACAAATGCCCAAAAATTAACAATTGTAAACCGCTTTGAGACTCAGATCTGCAGTAAAAAGGCGGTATATAAATAAAAACTTAGTTACTTAGTTAGACAGTTCTTCCAGCTCATCCGAACAGACATGTCTGAGACTGCTTTACTAGAGGCAACCAAAACAGTTGCCACAACTGTCTCCTCTCGATCTGGAAGAGCAGCGACTCTCATCCCAACCGGTCAACTATTTTTGACCGGTTGTATCCACGACTTGGTCCTTTTGCAGTGATTGACCAGTAAATGGAGAGGTTTGCCTTTTGACTCAGCTCCTTCTTCACCATAAAAGATCACGGCACACGCTGCACTAATCCATCTTTCAATCCCACGCTCTATCCTTTCCTCAGTGTAGACAAGATGAGATACAGTACTTGAACTCCTTTGAGGTTGAGTAAACTACACAATACCTCTACAATCTGCCAAATGAATCTGACTTGTGTGTCTAGAGCGACACTAAACCTGCAGTCCAGTTAGAAATTAAAAACATAAGTGAGATGATTGAGCACAATTCACATGGAATAAAGGCAGCTGTTATTTTATTTTAATGGTTCTTTATTATGTGTTTTTGTATTTTATCAGTCTTTGAGGAGGAGGTTTGGAGTCCAATAAAGTTTCACAGCACATAAATGATGTCTTATTTCTTCATTGATATTTTTTTCAATGTTTCCAAACTATGCACAGGACCTCATAGATTCACTCCGCAGTAGTCAACCATCTGTCACGCGATGTCATTTTATCAGCCTATTGTACGATTGTGTTTATTCTATCTCTAATTAATAATGGCTTATCAGCATCCAGAAAACAATTGAGTATTTCTGCCAAAGCCAAATGCTTCCTTCCGCTTCGGGACGATCAGAGTAAACTTCTACTGGCGCCAATAACCCCTTCACCCACCCCCCATTCACGAGACAGACACTTCAAAAGTAAAATCAGGTCAATAGACAGAAGATTTAACTACATTGAAGTTGACTTAACTCAGGGCAGAAAGCCAGCTATTCTCCCTCAGCTAAATTATTGGTGTCAAACTCACATTGTCATACACCCTTGTTTATGTTGAATTCATTTTTCAAGACTTATTCATTTGAGCATACCTCCATTTTCCACAAGCGTTTTACAACTCTCACTAGATGTAATTACAGTGCAATTACAGTATCAAATATAGTTTGATAGTTTACAGATTTCTTGGTGTCTGAAGCCAAGTAATTCATGATTAAATGCAGTGTTGAGGCCAGATTTTATACTGTTTTAGAGAAATGTCAGGCAACAACATTTTATTATAAAGATGGAACCATAGGATGGAACACAGGTAACTGTTCTCTGAGATGCAGGACATCTCGTTATGCTAATAGTTTTTTTCCACACGCTGTTAATAGTTTGAATAGAGCACTCTAATGTTTTTGCACTCGTATAGATCTGTTTTAAGTTGGTCAACTTCACAGTGACATTTGTTTACTGTTTGTTTTATTTTTGTCTTTTAATGTTGTTTTGTGTCTGTACTTGTCCTGTGCACACTGGGAACTTTTACAAATGTATTCCAATGTAGTGTTACTGCAAATGGCGAAATAAATGAATCTGACTATCACACAGTTGATTTAGAGAAGTGAGAAACATAAACATCAATTTATTTGGAAATAATATAAACAATAAAAAGGGGTAAGTAGTAAGCACATTTTTCCTAAGGATTTTACCCAATGTAAGCGCCTCAAATAATCTGCGAAAGGTTAGACTCTCTTGAAATTTTCAAAGCACATGTCAAAACCGTAGAATGTCGATATTAACGGATGTAGTCACGCCTATCTCCGCAGTTGAAACTAATGTGCCACCACTTTTGCCTTCAAAATGGCTGTAGAGGCAGCACTAGCCTCATTCATTTGACAAGTGCATTCTGAAGTCCATAGCGGCTAAACTCGGCTGGTCAAAAAATGAATACTCCCCTCAGCATCTGGTACATAGCGTTGGGCCAAGAGCCGACTTTTGAACCATCTTGAAAAAGACCATACAGGATGCCATACTGAAGCATTGGGTAATTCTCTTTCCGTGTGCACCCCCACCGGCCCGGAGTGAGATGGCAAGCATGTCAGCACACATGCTCATGGACCAAAACCTACCTTTTTAAATTGGCTTTTTCAAATGTATTTTATTCTGTATTTTTGTATATATTTTTGGATGTTTTTATTCTATTATAAGGCGTTCTTGGTTGTCTTAAACGGCATTTAACGAGTTGATCAAATGTATCCAATTTTTCCCCCACATTTTTTTATTTAAAATAAGATGAGATATAAAAAACAGTAGATTAACTATACTGGTAACATTCAGATCATAGCAAAAACCTTTAGGTGTCTGGTCTAAACTAAACATCTTTGAGACAAATGTTATTGTGGCGACCACAGCAGCCTGGCCCTGCTACAGTCATTGTTATGTCTATATGCACACACCACAGAAGAAGTGTATAAATATTAACACCCTGGGGACAAGTTTATTTGACAAACTGCTGGACAATGTTCTTGACATGGAGGTCTTTATTCCTGTGCCATTGTTCCTTCTCCCCACCCATGCAGTTAAATGGGACTTTACAAGATGTGTGAGA